TTATCTTAGCCTTATTTATGTTACTGATAAGACGTAACTGACAGGCTGCTGGGTGAAATAACTGTGGAATCTTAAAGTTCAAACCTAAACCATAGGAATATGGTTCCACCCATTGGCCAGGTGATCTCAGGCCGCAGGCAGGGAGGCATGATGGTTTAGGGTGGGCCCTGGAACAGTTACCACTGCTGACAAAACCCCTCTGTGAATTCCAGTTGCACAGGACTGCCACACGTGGGCCCTGGAACAGTTACCACTGCTGACAAAACCCCTCTGTGAATTCCAGTTGCACAGGAACTGGAACAAGTTCCTAATGCCCTGGGGTGACCGTACCCTGCCACAGACTGTAAGGCCCACACAGCGTGAGATGACAGATTTTTGATTTGGAATCAGGGGGCTAATTAAACACGAAAATGACCCCAATGCACCAGGGTGATCTCGCATTTTCATACCCTGTCCACTTCTGTTGTGCTTATGTATGCTGATATCTTAGAAAACTGCCAGTTTATTTATCCAATCTTTTTCTGGGGTATCTGCTTATAAGCCTCCTCTGTCTTTCTACTCTGCACAACGCTTTTATTTTTTCTTTTGGGTTGATGAACCCAGGATGGGAAAGATGTGCTTAGCATCAGGGAGGTGCTGGAAAGTATAGTAGGGGTTTTGCTCATGGTAGGAATTTGGACTCGCAAACCAGGATGAGGCCTGGCCATGTGTGACAGGGAACTCGGCAAGTGGTCACTCTAGTGTCCATGAAGTCCTTAGCAAGCAGTGGCACACACTCAGGTAAGGTTGATGATCAGGTGTCCAGTGGCAGCTAAACTAGCCCCTAGGCTCTCCTGTTGACAGCCTGGGGCCATTGCAAAAGAGCAGTGAAGGCCTTGCGGGCAGTGGTTCCCCCATCTCAGGGAGGCACGTGGGGAGGGTGGAGGAGATGGTCCCATGGGCTCAGATCCACCAGAAGCATTTCTTTTTCACCTTCTTGGTTTTCCGCCTTAAGTCCTGTTTCTCAGGGGCTGGGGGCTCTGCTGGGGACTTTGGTGGCGGAGATGCCTCCTCAACTGGTTCTGCTTCCTCCAAACTCTGCAGAACTTCGTGGAATCTGCCTTCCTGCTGCCGAAAATCATACTCTACACTGAAAAACACAGAGAGGAAGGAAGGAAAGTAAATTCAAATCAGCACAGACTGATCACCAAGCGCCCACTGACATGGAGGAACATGGGCTTTGGGATCAAGTCCCAGATCCTTAAGTACCTACTGGCTGTGTGACCTTGGGAAAGTTATTCTACTTCTCTGAACCTCTGATTCCTCATTGATTGAATTGTCACCTTGTGGGTGCCTTTCTCACAGGGATGTTGTTACTTAATGAGACATGTAACATGGCAGCCTGATGGTAGGTGTTCGGCAAATACTGGCTCCGGTCTCTCTCTTACACTTATTTAATGCACATTTATTTGAAGCTCCTAATTGTTCATTGGGTTTTTTTGCATATGTTATACAGAAAAATTGCTTCATTATAAAAGATTTAAATAATACAGAGGGATATACAATAAAAGTGAGCTCCTTCTGTAAAATGAGGATAATAGTAGCACCTATCTCAAGTTTCCTTTGGAATTAATGTGTGTAAGATGAGATAATATAAATGAAGTGCTCAGAGCAATACTTGGCATGCAGCAAGCCCCTCCGCGTGTGTTAGCTCCTGTTACTGTTATTTTGATCATCATTAACATTATTTCTATTAATATATTATGCCTTGTTCTTTGAATTGCTTCTCAATTTAACAAATATCTTGGAGGGTTTTACATAAAAGACTACCTCATAGTGTTCCTCAGTACACTTGTATTTAAATACTCCTCTTTTGATGGAAATTTCCTAATATTCATTTTTTTCTATTTTATTTATGTGTTTTTGTATCATTCTTGTAAAGAATCCATGGTATTGTCTTGATTACCATAACGGTCTGTGAGATAGACTTGAAGCCATCAGAAATCAGGGTTCCCAAAGGTGGAGGGAGCTGGGAGTCAGAGCAGAAGCCCTGGCCTGTGAGGCGACCTCCGTGTGCCTGGATTCATGCCAGCAGGCCCCAGGGACTCTCAGCCTGCCTTGTCACTCTGGCTCAGCCTCCACAGAACCCAGAGAGCAGGGCTGGAAAGAAGGAATCCTGTTAGACATCCCTGTAGGTTATGTAAGGGCTCCCTCTCTCTGTAATTGTCCACTCTCCTCCCTAGGAGATTTACTTTGGAGGAGTTTTCAGTACGAGGATGCTTGTAAGAAGGCTCTTAAGCATTTAGATGTGTTTGTTACCTGGTATTATACCAGGGCTCTCCGGATGCCTAAGGATGAGGAGCCAGCATGGGAATATGGACAGTGGAGGAAATATGTGTGCCGTGGTTTGAATGTCTCCCAAGCTCATGTAGGAACTGAACTCCCAATATGGTGGCAGAAGGTGGGGCCTTTAGGAGGTGATCGGATCATGAGGACTATGCCCTGGTGAATGGATAATCCATTCATGGAGTAATGGATTGATGGTTTAATGGGTTGTCATGGGTGCGGTTCTGATGGCTTTATAAGGAGAGTGAGTAAGAAGGTTAGCTATCTTGCTCTTGCCATTCTGTCTATGTGATACCCTAGTCACCACAGGATCCTGCATTGCCACCCAGAAGCAGGTCCTCACCAGATGTACCCCCTTGACTGTTAACTTCCCAGCCTCTAAAACTGTAAGAAATAAATTCCATTTTTTAATAAATTACCCAGTTTCAGGTATTCTGTTATAAGCAACAGAAATAGACTAATACATGGGGTTATGAAAACAGTGCACTCTCCTCGGTTATCCAAGAGGAAATGAAATGTTGCATATGGAAGATGAGAGACCCCACGTTGGTTTGTGATGTGGCATGACTGGCTAAAACCTTTAAGCCCAGCAAGAGCTGAGAGATGGCTATCATTAAAGGGACACCTGTCCTTGTCTACTATCCCCATGTCTCCTCTCAGAGCCCAGGATCTGAGTTAATGCTGCTGAAAAGGCAAATCACAATTGCCATGCATGACTAATGAAGCCCCTGACAGTGCCTTGTCACTGAACATTCTGAGATGGAAGAGGAAGGGCTAAAAGGGTCAGAGGGCGAGGTGGCCTGTTTTGTAGCCAGACTGATGAGGAGTCATTTCCCAGGGAACATTGGGATGGATGTCCAATTGTTTTGTTTCTGTATTTTTGATAAGCTTCACCCAGATTTCCCTCTCCACATACATCCTTTCTCTTTCTGTTCCTCTCTGGTCTTCTCTATAGGGATATAATCCTGGCCAGGTGACCTATATAATGCATGAGATGCAGGCTGTGTTTTTCAAAGTAGAGCTCCACAACTGATTAACTATGAGATCTTGGGGAAGTCATTTTCCTTTTCCAAGCTGCAGTGTCCTCATCTGCAAAATAAGCATGGTACCTACTCATAGGATCTTGGTGAAGTTTAAATTACATGGGCATGTACAACATGCAGCACAGAGTAGGAACCACGTATTCAGCCAGTCTTTCAACAAACATTTATTGAGCATCTTTCATGTGCCAGGCCCTGTCCTAGGTGCTGGGGAAAGAATGGTAGACAGACAGATACTTTCCCTGGCTGCCTGGAACTACTGGTTCAGTGACTTTGTCCTCAGTAGATGCTAGCCAACCTAAATAGCTATTAGCCAAAATAACTTCTGGCCAAAGCCCAGGATTTGCCAAGTCAGTGGGCAGAGGCATCCACAGACTCACACACTGAGTCTTAGGCTTCTAGGATGCACTATACAGAACTGTACTCCTGTTTGTTTCTAGGGGTAGAGTGGGTTTCTGTCTGTACCACATTCTCCCCAGCAGAAACTTAAGGAGGTGGATTCAGAGTCTGGGAAAGAGTTATCTCCAGCAACCTCTGCATTGCACCAAGGAAGGAATTTAAAGTGTTGAGTTGCAAGCTCTGATTCTCACCCTCTCTAACACTGGGAACACGCATGGTTCACAGATAGGGAATATCAATATTCACAGTTCTCCTAGCTCCTCAAATTGCCCTGCCCTTCCTACTGTGTCAGAAAAACAGTCTTCATTGTAGAGTACCAGGTGGATCCCAGAAGAGTGGGTACTCCCTGTTCATTCTAGGATTTTCCAGAGCTATCTGGTATAGAACATTCCATCAATCCGTCCACCCACCCACCCATCCATTCTGCTCCAGCCTTACACTGTGCTAGGTCCCAAGGACACAGTAGTGACCTAGACAGATCTGGATACTGTCGCTGTGGATCTTACTTCCCAGTGTATGAGACAGGTGATTAAACTAACAATTGCTTTCAAAATATGTTTCTTATTTCTCTCAACTGCTCCTACTGTCCAGTTCTTCATTCATATGCTTCCACCACATTGTATGACACACACACCAGCTGCCCTCCTCTCCTTACACGTGGAACTTCTCTGACTTCTTAATTCAAACATACAAGCAACAACAACACACCAGCTGAGTTTGTCAAGATTTACAAGCATCCTAATACCTATTAGCAAGTATAATGCTGTGGCTGATTCTACAATGTCCCAGAACTGGCAGGCTTGGGTACGAAAGAGCCAGGAGACAGAACATAAACTCTGTCTCACAGTCACAACTTAAAGTGTAGTCTGATAGAGAGAAAGGAGCAAGGTCTTTTGAGTTAAACACTCCTGGGTTTGAACTGGGGCTGCACCACTCACTGGCTGAGTCAATCTGGGCAAGTTTCTTCTGTTTCTACGACTCAGTTGAACGTGGGGGGTTTACTAACCTCCTCGCTGGGTAGTGTGCAAATGGGGACACAGCAACAGCTGAAATCACCTCACACGGGACACAGTCTCTCCCACTCTGCTCTTCTTCGCTAAGTCCTTTGTCTTTCTGTCTTAGGGACTGAATGGCTCACCTCCGCACTTATACCTTCAGTCCTTCACCATCAGTAATTGTACACCTCGCCAACAGCACTGCTCTGCACCCCGCCCCTCTATGTACATCCAGGGAAGAATACACTCTTTATGTTTCTATGGAAACACAGCAAGGTTCCATTATAATCACTGGGATTTAGGGAGCTCCCACCCCCCTCTAGTGACTGCCCCCACTGGTCTTGACAAGTTAAAGGGGATTGAAAGTGACTTTCTTTTCAAGGCCAGGCAAATAGCAGAGTATAGAGAAGTGTGTGTGCTTTGGAAAGAAACTGATTAGTATTTTTTAGGCCAAAGCAATTTATTAACAAAAGAAAATTGTCACGTTTCTTATTCATCCGTTTGACAAACTACTGTTTAGTTCAGAGGGGAGGAAAAGGAGTATATTTTGCTTTGGTGGCAGCTGCCTTATCAATTGGGAAGGGACAGTGCCCTCCCTCTTATCCACTTTTCATTTTGAGGCTGGGTGGAAAAGAGGAGATGCCCCTCAACTTTATACTTAGCCACCCCAAACCATGTTCAGCAACCCCTTGAAAAGAGGAATAACTTGCCAGCTTGGTGAGAATTCAAGTAAAATCTTAGCAGAAGGTCATTTGTAGATTCTGGAAAGGGACTCTGCTTTGGTGTCAGCCCAGGTATCGAGGTAGAACACCAGTAACCTTTCCAATCTCCCCTCCCCTCCTCTCCTTCTACTTACCCTTCCTACCTTCTCACTCTTACCCTCTCTCCACCATCTATATTCCATACACACTCTATATTCCATACACTATATTCCATGCAGGATCGCAAGACGGAGGACAAGTGCTAAGCTATGCAGAACCCTGGCTCTCAGAGTTGGGGGGGTGAGTGAGGCAAATAGTAGTCAAGAAATTGTTGCAATGCAGGGTTCCAGACTGGAGCCACTGAGATAGTCTGGAGCATTCAAGGTGTGTGGGGTTAGTCCCCCTGAGGATGAATGGGACACGGGACCTATGGTTCAGGGATGCCCATTTCACTCTCTGGGAAGCCCTAGAGCCTGTCATATCCAAGGAGATGTCTGAGCACAGTGCCACATTGCATTCAGAAAGTGAGCTGTGTATAAACTGCGAATGGACAAGAACTTCCAGGATTCCCTCTTGAGGGCACCTCACTAATCTAACTGACAGATCAATGCTCTAGCCATCATGGTAGGTAAAAAGCAGAGGATGTTTTTCTAGGTAATTGGAAGCAGC